AGTTGGCCCAGACGATAAAGTGCCTCAAACTATTGGAGAAGGCTGGTTGCAAGAGGTCTCTGTCAATTTAACTTTCACTAGTCTTGTGACTGCGTTGTTTCCCTTGTGATTAGAGGCAAAGAAGGAGTTTTCCCTGGAGCCTTCAGAGGAGGCATGGCCCTGCCATGCGTAAATAATAATAAAACCTATTGAAACAATTGGCCCAATGAGCAGGGTGATTTGGTCCCTCAGCAAATAACATGCCACTAGAATGCTCTTGGTTTACTAACAGGTTCTTCCAGACAACCAGGGCAGGTTCACTGCTGGCTGTGGCAGCAGCTGCTTTGTGTTGCCTCTACCAGATGTTGCTTTGAATCCACTCCACAAATTTTGGAACTTGTAAACAGAGTTCTCCCCTAGTTCCTGAGTCAAGATGTCTAGTGTCTAAGAGTCCCTCAGGGCAACTCAAATTAATTGGCTACTTCTGATTGTTGAAAGGCTCCTCCTGCGGAAAGAGGTGTGGCTCCTTCCAAGTGCCACCAGATGAGCCTGAGCAGCCCCACGGGTAACACTGACAAGTGATGGGACAACTGAAGCTTTACGTTCTGTAACAAAATTGTTTTCTTTGTCCTGTTGCACATTATCATAGGAAGCTACTATGTCTGAGCTGTTCACAGGGCCAACCTCAGGGCATCCCAGCAACCATGGCACCAGTGTCCTGTGGTAAGGGTTGTGATTTTTATGTTGTTGTCTGTCCAGCTGCCTGGCCCAGCAGGGTAGGAGGGATCACAGGGACGAAAACCAGTTATACAAAGCTTAATGAAAAAGAAAAATGGGGAAAACCATCCCCATCTTGCCTAAGATCCCTGAGGACGTCATGCCATTGATTCAGGAATGTAAAACCTGAACAATGCTCATGGGCCTTTCAATCAACAAAAATTGGCCAATGCTCATGGGCTTTTCTGAGCTTTTCTGCTTGCCAGCACACCAAGGGCCTTATGCTTAAAACCTATAGAGGCCCCAAATATTGTTGAAGCCACTGTGGCTTTACTGGTAATGGATCTAGACCCTCAGAGGTCAACTGGGATATCCTGGAGAGGGAGGCCACCACCTATAGACAGAGCCACTTGGGACCACCAAGAGTTCACCTGGTAAATACTGAAAGGTCAGAATGGTTGGGGACAGACAGAGACTACAACAGAAATTAATTTTTTTTTTACCTGCCTAGAGCTATAATCCATTCTAAAAGATTTCATCCAAAAAAAAAAAAAAAAAACGTTGAAAAAGGACAGGTACTTCAGACCAGGGGCTAACCAAGAAGAGGCTGTTACAGCTCTCTAAGTGCAAACCCCAATCCCTGGGAAGTGGATGGAAAGCCTTGGAAAGAGCGATGGCTGCCTACAGGGACACCTCCCTCTCTTTCATTTCTGCTGTAACCACCTAGAAGGTTCACATATAGTGTTATTAGTCAGAGACAGAAACTAGAAACCATAGATTCAGAGAGCTAAAAGCCTAAAATAAACAAACAAAAATAGGAAAATAAAATGAAAAAACAAACAAATGTAGATACAGGGTAGAAAATAAAATGTAAATAAATAAAATTTGTGTGTGTGTATGTGTGTGTGTGTGTGTGTGTGTAAAAGTCCATAATTTGACTCAATTGTAAATAAAAAATTTACTAAAATAATTTATATAACAAAAAGATAAAAGGGTCACTGATTGGCTTTTGTGCCTTAACAGCATAGATCCTAAATTAACTTTAACATATGCTAAAATGTACCAATTAACAAAGCTTCCTGGTCTTAATCAATGCTGGGGCTCAAATTACTTATACCTGGAGATACCACTAAATTTAAACATATAATCTTAGGAAAGTAAATAGAAAATAGAAAAAATAGTAAATAGAAAATAGGTGTGCTTCACTTTAACTATAGCCTTGCCTACATTTCCCATAGTTGTAGTACCCATTGCCCTAAAATACCCCATACGGACATCCATCCTCTAACGCAATGAGTAATAAATTAAGTCTTTGGTATTTACAAATTGGCCTGATAACATGCACCCCCAGTTAAAATAGTTAATATGGCCCAATGTAAGTTAAAACAGGGCCTTCAAGGAGTAGAACCTATTATATAAGACCTAATTAATAAAGGGATAATTATCCCCCACTGCTTCTCCATTTAACAGCCCAATTTTGCCATATTTTAAACAAAAACAACAACAAAAGAGCATAGGCGCCTCATGATGAATTACTGCAAACTTATAATGCTGTGGTCCCATACCCAGTACATAATATTATTAAAATTACTGACTGCATCTAATCAACAACCAGTAAATATTTTACTATTATAGATTTGGCACACATGTTCTGTTCAGTGCCTATTTCAACAGTCTCTCAGCAAACACTTTGTCTCACCTCCAAAAGGACACAATATACTCTTTCCAGGCTCTTTGCAGACAGAATCTTAATTGCATCACCTTTCTCCAGGAGCACCAGCATGACATTATACTGATGACTCTCTTCCATAGATGCTCATTTGACACACACGTTGAGATCATGCAAGTCCTTTCGGGTTCTGTGGCAACGTATTCCTCGTTTACATTTTTTTCTTAATCTCACTGATGCTGGTACTTATAAATCAGCCTACCCTAAAGGAGTCCCTGCATCAAAAGGCTCTAGAACCTGTCCAAATTAAAATCAGTAGGCATTCCCATTAGTGCCTCAGAGACTCCTTCACTGGGGAGGCTTCCATATCTCTTCTCATCCCTCCTTGAATCTCTGGACCACCTAAGATGCCATAAGTCGTCCTATGGCCTCTGATGCAAGTTGTCCCTCTTGGACCTGTACTACACATCATTATAACAAAGACTACATACTTGGATGTCCTGGAAACAGAGACTCTCACAGACCCTGAGCCTGTGACTCTCCATACCCGGCTGCCCATTATGCTTTGGGTCATGAAAACAGCACCTTATTAGCTCAGTACAGCCACTAAGTCCTCTTTAAGACAGGATGGAGGCAATCCTGGG